TCTCCGCTATAATGTTCATCCCCTTGTTTTTTCGTCACTGTAATATATGTGAATTGTAGCCCAGCAAAAAACATAGGTCTCTTTGCTTTTGGTAATCAGTTCCCACCATTACGTAAATAAAGAAATTACTTGTGTGCGTGTCATTACAGCTGAGCATTACAGAGGCTGCTTGACTGGTGCTGCTTGACCCAGCTCTGAGTGCCAAAATGCTCCTCTACCTCATCTATATTTCAGTGCACTGAGGGTGTTCTGTAATAATCTCAATTTGTGAACATGCAGCAGCGCCACTCTGCCATTTCCAAGCACCATAATCTTTAGTCACATTCCGCGAAGGTGCTGGAGTAACAAGGGTCATGACAGCCTGAAATGCTATACATGTAGTGCCTACAGCAGCTATCTTCTGTGCTGCTGGAGTACTTTTATTTCCACTGAATCTCGGCTCAGCTTGCACCATTTTCTATTTTTGTGACTGCTCTTAGCGCTAAAAGGCTTTTCAGTGAGTCATGTGTTTCAGAATTTGACCCCGAGTTGGTTTGTTTAACCCAAGGTGCAATCTCTGAGTTTTTGGCTCAGCACCTTAATTATGGACACTTACAATATAGCACCATGTACTGTACATCTGGCATTACTTGGAAAATACTCTCTGCAGATTTGAATGAGGCATTTCACGCTCCTTACAAAATGAACCAAAAACTTTTACCAGACAGACATAGATCCTTTCAGTGTGTTCCTGTTGCGTAGAAGGAGTGCTGCCCTTTGGTTTTGTGATTGGAATCAGACTGAGCTTTAAAGGAGCAAATCTGGGTTAAGGGCAGAAGTAAAGAAACCGCCATTTCTGTGGTGTCTCAATTGTAAACATACACAGCTTTGGCTCAGAAATATGACTGGGGTTTTAAGTGGAACCTGTTGCATGTCAAAAATATGGTTATAGAAATGCTTAGCTTAGCTTACCAAAAACACTGGAAATAGCAAACTAGGCTTTAGGCTTTTACTAGTGTAAAAACGACATGTTGAATTATGTGCCAGAATAATTAGCTTACTAACGGAGTAAATAGCTCTTAATGTCCTAAAAAACAACAATGGACCATTTTTACAAGTGTCAGTTTGTGAGCTTTATAGGTGGTGGTAGGAGGATTTTGTTGCCAAGCCAGGCTAGCTTTTTACCCCTGTTTCTAGTCTATGTGCTAAGCTAAGCTAACTGGCCGCCGGCTTTAGCTTGATATTTATCGTACAAACATGAGAGTGCCATCGAGCTTGTCATCTACTGTGACTCTCAGCATGAAGGGAAGCGAGTGCATTTCCCAACATGTCGAGATACTTCTTTAAAGAGTGTGCGTGTTTAACCTCCAGAGGCTTCGTGTTTGGCCCTCAGAGCCTGACCGGCTCTCAGGCTTAGCCCTCCATTTACAACAAAACCCTGCTGCGCCTCTCTTTTCCTAATGAGGGCTGGAGGGATGTATCAGGCCTTAAGCTGTTTTCTCTTCTCTCTCTCCTTCTCTGTTTTCTCTCTCTCTCTCTCATTTCCCTCCTACACTGCAGTCAGCCAGGCAGTGTTAAATATCTCATCTTATTTTATCCTCCAGCCTGCCATCAATTTCAAGCTGTTCTCCTCTCATTTACAGTAGTGCCAGACCATCCATGATATCAGGATGTACATCAGCTGCCAAATGTACACTTTTACTCGTCCCACTTGGTGCAAAGAGAAGCGGATGAGCGGTTTTCGCCGCAATCCTTCACATGTGCCAACCAGACTGATGCTCCAATCCGTGAAAACATGCTGGTTCCTCCAAGCACATTTATGGATCATTTGATTCAATTTCATGTACCATAAAACTGTAATAATAGCAGAATCATTATTGCCCCCCCCACCCCCCACCCCCCTTCTAGACAGCCTTAATAGGGTCGTGTTACCACTCCATCCTAGCTTCATGTTTTCATCCTGACGAGGTGTGGACGGACACAAATGTTCTCGCACACACATCACCCCAGAGCTAGACTTGCCTTGTAAGATGCATGAGTTTGCAAAACAAAAGTGCTCCACTGCTCTCTATAGGTCTGTTCATGACAGTGCATTACTTTAATCCTCAGTCCAACATTTTTGTGCCAAAAGTGTATACAATTTCCTTTTTCTTAATGTACATAGAGTCTGTCATTTGCTGTTTAACAGTGACACACTGAAGTGGCTCAATGATAGATAGATAGATAGATAGATAGATAGATAGATAGATAGATAGATAGATAGATAGATAGATGAATGTACATAATGTGTAAGATTGCATTGTTTTAATTGATCAGGGCACCTTTTCTGACTACATAGAGGCAGAGACATATTTTTATATCCTGTTTTCTTTCTTTAAAAAGATCAAATAAGCCCTTTTCTTTATTTAGCTGAAGAGTCGCTTTAAAAATCAGCTGGAGAAAATAAGAAATCAAGCTAAACACAAGGTTGTTAAAGACATTTAGCAAATCCAAGTGTTTCCTGTATAACTTTTTCTGCCTTTGTTTTTTGGATTTTACACTTGACTGAAAATCCAAATAATGTCACTTGTGCCCTCATATTTCTCATTTTTCTCTTCATGCTGGCTTTCCTTTTGCTTTCCCCTCATTTCTATCAAGTTCTCAGTTTCTGTTCCCAGCACCTATAAACCTTCCCGGTAGTGTAGCTCTGTTTGGGCAAGGCAGTGTGGGGCTGATGTTGTGTCTCCTGCTACCTTCAGGGTCACCTTTGATGTTGGCCAGACTGTTGGAGCTCTTTTTTAATTTCCCTCTCACTTTGTGACTGCATCTCCTTAGCCTGCAGTTTGTGAGAAATGTCAACGTCAAATCACACGCACGGACAACTGATAGACTCAGAAATACTGAGCTGGGAATATTAAAATACACTCCATGGCCACAAGTATGTGGACACCTGAAAATATACACATTTATGTGATTGTTGGATTGTTGAACATCTCGATCCAAAACATTATTGTGGTGCTACAACAGCCTCCACTCTTCGAGCTTGTCATGGATGATCCAGTGGTTGCTTCACTTATTTGAATGAACCTAGCTTTTGCACAGGGCAGTGCTGTAGTCCAGGAGTCCAGAAGTCCAGGACTCGGACTTGAGTCTGACCTGAGTCCTGATTTTCAGACCTGAGCGCTAACAATTTGGACTTAGACTCCGACTCGAGCATTGACTGTACTCAGACTCAGAAGTTGTAGATGAGGACTCTGACTTTTTTTATTAGTTTGCATGCATGTAGGCTAGTGTGGCATTATATTCTTTATCGTACCTACAGGGCCTGGGCCAGACCATGAAAAACAGCACCAGAGCAAAGGTATACAAATATATTAGAGAAGGTATTTCAATATATATTCTGCTTTGTAAGACTTTCTTTCTTCCTCCTTTACTTGTTGACAGTATTAATGAAATTCACTAGTGATGGAAGTCTCTGAAATATTGGTTTTAATTAATGTACTTCCTTAATTCTTAATTTCTGCAACTTCACCACTCATTTATTCAAAATGAGGATATTAAAAGAAATAATTTTTCCTGACAGATTCAATCGACAGTGTTCATATACACACGCACGCACACACGTACTCAGAGTTTCCTGTGTCATTTCTAGGAAAAGTTAAATTTTGCAGAGTAGAACAATGAGAAAAGAAAGAAAGTTTTGTCCAGATAACTCATTGTAATGAGTTCCACTCAAGCGTCCATGTGTTGTTTTGTATAATATGGCTCTGCACAGAGTCAGCGCATCACAGCGGATGAGTGACAGATGCAGACATCAAAGTGGCTAAATTCAAGCCTGAAGTCTTAAAACTATGATGAGTCATGTCCGTGCCCCCTGTGTAGCCAAAACCTCTGAGTGAGTGTGTTTGTTTGTTTGTTTGTGTGTGTGTGTGTGTGTGTTGGGGATGGTGGTGGGCTCAGCATCGTCCTGCTCCTCCGCTGTCATTCATGAGCTCAGACCTATTCTGGTCCCCTCAGCCTCCTCTCTTATGGTAGAGAAATGTGGGCTGACACAACAGAGTTTTACAAAGCCCAGCTGGCAGGCTTTGTTATGCAAGCATTTTACAGCTCTGTTCCTGACGGTGCATTACAGGAATAATCCACCCGAAAACACGTTAATACTGTCACTAAAACAGCCATTGGCTCTGTACCCTGCATTTCTGGGACTATTTAATCGTTTGATAGTGTATTTCCTATTGCTGCAGTTAAATGAAAGTGGATTAGTATTTGACTTGTCTGATACGGATATCATTAATTTGAAGCATCTGAAAGCCAGTTATTTTGCCACCCCATAAATAGATATGACATAAAATAGCTTTAAATGTAATGTTAAATGTAAACATTATTAGGTCTTATTGTTTACCCGAGGGTTTCCTTCTCGTCTGGTAGAAAACATGTCTAAAAAGCAAACAGTATGTGCATGCTTTTCATGTTTTAGCCAACTCAATCATGCATACGCCATTGCTAACCATTTTCTAAAGTAGTTACTTTGGCATGCTGTGAAAATCAATTTGACAACGTGTCATTATCATTATTATATTGTAATTGTGCAGGAATACAACTGAGAGCAGAGACTGTTTTCTATCCTGATGCACTCACATGCTCACATGCAGAGATTTTAGAGTTGTCTGTTAAAAAGTTTGCATTGATTTTGTAAAGTCAACATTTCTGGACAAGTCAGCAGCTTGGCAATCTTTCAAAACTACCATTACATTTTCATGAGAATGTGAAAAGGAGCTGTTTGTAAAGACATTCAGAGAGAAAGACAATAAAAACACATTTATATTGTCTGCAATGATAAACCATCAGCAGTCAGTTTAATGTAGAAACACACGTAGGTCATTGAAAAAAAAAAAAAGAAGAGCTGGACATGTTTCCTACCTGCCATAACGCTCCGGGCCACTAGGTGGAGCTCTCAGTATTAAACAGGGAAGTTCACCTTTTATTTTTTTGACACCACGTGACCGGATGCGCAATTTCAAAACATTGAATAACAGCTCCGAGCTGTCCCTTTCTATGCTGTCTCATAATGATTTTTTTCCCGGCTTCTAGCTGACATTTCCCGCCGACAGTGAGAGAAAACCCTGGTGACTTTTCGTGTCTAGAGTAGAGGACCGTCCTGTCGGCTCCAACATGGCGGGGCCGCTGCTGGAGTTTGAGACCGAGATGTTTCTGAGCCTGTTCGGCAGTGACGGGCTGCTGGTGGCGGCCGAGGGGATGGGGATAGACCGCATCCTTCTGCAGTTCATGCGGGTTTACTCGGAGCAGGGCAGCCTGGTCCTTCTGCTCAACACCACCACACCTGAGCAGGTGAGGACTGCATGGGTTAACTTAACCGGCTGCTTTGGACGCCTCATAATTAACACCGTGTGATTTTGGGGGCAGCAACGAGGCTTTTGGATGGATTATAAAATGTGTACATGCTACAATATCAGTTATTCATTTAAATACTCTTAAATAAGGTGGCTGTGTAAAAATAATACATTACCATCAGGTAATAGCAGTCTATTACTAGGATGGATTTGCACTATTTAGATATGGCTGAACGATTCATCTTAATATTATCAATGCAATCAGTGCAATATCCAAATCGCAGGAGCTGCAGTTTTATTTTGATAAATGAAATGCGTCAAAAAATACGATAAATAAAGCATTGTGGTGCTTCCGGGCTACAAATCATATTCTCCAAATGTACGGGAACATGCTTGTTTGGTACAAACTGCAGCAAAAACCACATGATCATCTTTTTCTTTTCTTTTTTCTCAATCAAAAATGATCACTCCAACTCAAATCATGCCTCTTAGCGCAATATCTGCCAAAATAATGTTTGTTCTCTGCATATTGTTAGTCACATATGCCTTGGCCTCTTTTCATAGAAAAGCCATTTGAGGATTTGCCACCAAGTGCCTATTCTATACCAGGCAAGATGAACCTTACAGATAATAAAGGTCTGGGTATTCAAGTTCAGAGTTTTACATGCATCTCTTGTGTGCATTTACTTAGAGCCAGTTTAGCAAGAACACGTCTTTACTTATTCCCCTCTCAGGAGTATTTGACAGAGCAATTGCAAGTGGAAGGTGTGACCCACCTGCCCAGGACAGTGACCAGCGACGTCCAGAGCACAGAGCGTTATAACGTCTACACTGAGGGAGGAGTGCTGTTTGTCACCAGCAGAATCCTGGTGGTGGACTTCCTCACTGACCGCATCCCTGCTCATCTCATATCAGGTCAGAAGCCTGCCTGGTCACGGCTAAAATGAGAGCTATGTTTGTCTGATTACGAACTGTGATCACTAGTAATTACCGGTATTAGTATTGGTACTTGTATTTGTATTCAACAATACTATAGTATGTTAGTTAGTTACTAAAATGAGATACATTTAATATATTTAAATGGCCTTAATGTAATATTTGATATAACTATTGTTTAAACATATGAGTAATTGACTGTCCACCAAACTTTCAAAAGACATGACTGGAGCATGTTATTATGGGGACAAACAAGAGAGTCAACAGTAGCCAAGTTACTCGTCTGCTCTGATACACAGTAAATATCCTTAATTGTAATCATTTCAGAAACATAAATAAATGCAGATTTATTTTTCTCTCTAAGAGTAATCAAATCAAAAACATTTTAATTGATGTATTTATTGCAGGGTGTTGCTTTGCATTACAATTGTACAGGTGTTACTACTTTCCTATCTTTCTCTAACAACCTTTCAGGCATCCTGGTGTATCGCGCCCATAAAATCATTGAGTCGTGTCAGGAGGCCTTCATCCTTCGTCTGTTCAGACAGAAGAACAAGACGGGCTTCATTAAGGCCTTCACTGACAAGGCCACGGCCTTCTCCTCAGGCTTCTGCCAGGTGGAGCGTGTGATGAGGAACCTCTTCGTCAAGAAGCTCTACCTGTGGCCCAGGTGTGATGGGGGCATACTGTACTTTTTACATGCCATAGCAGGAACAGGAAGTGCTTCCCTCGTCCTTCTTTACACTTTGCTCTCTACACCTGCTTCATTCAACAGGTTCCAAGCATCAGTAAACACAGCACTGGAGAGGCATAAGCCAGAGGTGGTGGAGCTCCACGTGTCATTGACGCCAGCTATGAGGGCCATACAGAGCTCCATCCTGGACATCATGAGCGCCTGTCTGAAGGAGCTGAAACGCTACAACCCCACCCTGGAGGCTGAGGACCTCTCACTGGAGAACACACTAGGAAATGCTTTTGAAAAGGTCTGCTACTGTATTAGTGACATGTGACACATAATGCAATGTGAGTAATGTGATTGAAACTGGATCGTAATACTCCTAGTTTGCTGTCCTGCTGTTTCATTGTGTCGTTAAGTTGCTCTCCTTTGACGTCAAAGAATTTACTGCAAATGGTTGAACTTTACAACTCTATGCAGACCATCCGTCACTACCTGGACCCCCTGTGGCACCAGCTGGGAGCAAAGACCAAGGGCCTGGTCCAGGACCTGAAGGTGCTGAGGGTTCTTCTGCTCTACCTCACCCAGTACGACTGCGTCACCTTCCTCAATCTGCTGGAGTCGCTGCGCTCCAGCCAAAAGATCTTTGGCTCCAATTCTGGTAAACTACAGCACTTACTTTAAGTAAAAAATTGTACTTGATGTCCATAATTAATCTTCGTTATCCCTGTTTGATTGTGTGCGCCTGTTGTTGTATCCGCCAGGGTGGTTGTTCCTGGACTCTAGCACGTCCATGTTTGTGAACGCCAGGAGTCGAGTGTACCGCATCGCTGAGAGCAAGAAGAAACTCAAAGTGGGAGCAGAGGCTGAGAAACAGAAGTTACCCTCTGCCTCAGGTGACTGAGCAGCGACCAGATCTCTGACAGTGTGTTCCTCAGAGTAGATGTAATGTAATGTAATCAGCATGTACTATATGTGTGCGGTTGAGATCACTAAAGGTTGTGTCCGTGTGATTCAGAGGTAAAACGAGAGCTGGTGCTGGAGAAGAGCCCAAAGTGGGAGGCTCTGACTGAAGTGCTGCAGGAGATTGAGAGGGAGAACAAGAGCTCTCAGCATGAACCAGGTTAGAGCATGAAAGTTGTCCATCACGTCATCACTGCGTTTCAATCTACAGATTTACATATAATGTTCTATGTAACAAAATTTTGTAGATGCTACTTTTTAGATTTCTAAAAGGTGGTACATTAAAATGATCTAAGGTCATTTAAACTTTGGCCTGCTAACGCTAACACAGGAAAAGCCACAGGAGAAAGAAGTCCTCACTATGAAACGTATTTCACATAAACAAAAACAGTCTAAACGCAGCTGACACATACACAGCTTCTATTCAAAGCTGTGTATGTCATATTGTGTGTGCTATCTCACATTGCCTACACCTAATGGAATTCAGACGTGGAGTAAAACCATTGTTTTTATATCAATACTGCAATTTCAAAAGTTTAAATTTGATTATTAACAGTGTCTTAACTCAGCTGTAGTAAGTGTAAGTTGTAGCTGGCTGACATCAGTGAATATAGTATCAACTGTTGCCAGGAGATTTCCTGTAGAGTTGTAGTTAATTAAGGTTCATTTTGTAAGTTGATGAAACAACGACAACAAAAGGTCTTGGCTAATGCTCACTACACTCCAGTGTTGGCACTATTTTCAGCTAATCACATAAAGATCTATAAATCGGGACCTCCAGTAGTTCAGTCTGTGAAGCTAACATTAGCTTATTAGCATTATTATCTGATTCTTTAGATTTTGATAATGCTTAGTATAAATAGAGGCACATTTAATTGATAGAAAATAATTGCAATTTAAATGACAATGTTCGTCAGAGAAAGAAATATTTAAAAAAAAATGTGGATATTTTCTCAAATAGTTCAGTCCTATGTTAAACAAGAATTAAATATCCACCATTAAAACGGTCATTTGATATCTGTTATGTACATGTTGCCTCCAGGTCGTGTGCTGATCTGTGCCAGTGATGACCGCACTTGTGCCCAGCTGCAGCAGTACATCAGGCACGGCTCTGATCGGCTGCTCAACAGACTGTACGCCCGCACAATCGGTAAACAGGACGCCGCTGCAGCTGCTGCCCTTGAACTTGACTCGCACAAAAAGGGCAAAGGCTGGTCCAAAAAAGGAGGCAAGGGGAAGGAGCCTGCACAGAAAAAACCCACAAAGTCCACGAAGAGGACAAGCAGACCATCTCTGACCCTGACCCAGATGGTGGGGAAGGAGGAGATGGATGAAGCAGCAGCGATGGGCAGCAGCGGAGATGAGGACGAACTGATGGACGAGGACGAAGGCGAGGAAGAACAACTGAAGCTGGATTTGTCATCCGATGCTTACTATGGTGTCCTGAAGGAGCCGCTGACCGTCATCCACCCTCTGAAAGGCTGCACGGACCCCCACAGCTTGACGCGGGTGCTGCACGAGGTGGAGCCCAGTTTTGTGGTGCTGTACGACGCTGAAGTGAGTTTTGTCCGACAGCTGGAGATCTACAAAGCTAGCCGACCCGGAAAGGCACTTAGGGTGTATTTCCTCATCTATGGAGGCTCGACAGAAGAACAGAAGTACCTGACAGCTCTGTCTAAGGAAAAGAAAGCCTTCGAACACCTCATCAGGTGAGAACAGCGTCTTTCCTATCAAGTACTTTTTGGGGTTTTTGTTGATTTGGGGTTTTCTTAAGTGTCAGCTTCTCATTGGTGCTTGTGTGTGTATAACACTGCAGGGAAAAAGCTACTATGGTCATCCCAGAGGAGAGGGAGGGACGAGAAGACACCAACCTGGACCTTGCTAGAAGTTTAGAGCCTGCCAATGCCACCACCAACTCCCGCAAAGCAGGCATGTCTGTTTTAGTTGTTTCTTTTAAATTTATTCAAGAAAAACGGTTTTCTGGAATAAGTGTTTCATTATTTTTGTATTTCCATTTCCTGTCCTATAACCAGGAGGCCAGGAGCAGCCCAAAGAGCCCTCACGAGTCATTGTGGACATGCGTGAATTCCGCAGTGAGCTCCCCTCTTTGCTGCACCGCCGTGGACTGGACATTGAGCCCGTCACCCTGGAAGTAGGCGACTACATCCTGACACCGGACACATGCGTGGAGCGCAAGAGCGTCAGTGATCTGATTGGCTCTCTGCAGAGCGGCCGCCTCTACACCCAGTGTCTCTCCATGACCCGTTACTACAGGAAGCCAGTGCTGCTCATTGAGTTTGACCCGGCTAAACCGTTTTCCTTAATGGCCCGGTCAGATTTCCGTCATGAGATATCATCAAATGACATCTCCTCAAAACTCACCTTGCTCACCTTGCATTTCCCCCGGCTCCGTATTCTCTGGTGCCCCTCCCCACATGCCACAGCTGACCTCTTCCTGGAGCTGAAGCAAGGCCGCCTCGAACCCAATGCTGCAGCAGCTCAGGCGGTCACAGCTGAGTCGGATATGGTGTCTGAATCATCGGGTCTCTACAACCCTGGACCTTATGACTTCCTGTTAAAAATGCCTGGGGTCAATACAAAAAACTACAGGGCTCTGATCAAAAATGCCAACAGCCTGGCAGATTTAACCAAACTCAGCCAGGACAAGCTAGCAGAAATACTCGGAAATGCTCTCAATGCTAAGTTGCTGTATGATTTTCTGCATAATGTTGCTGATGTTCCTGCTCCTGTGCAGAAGGCCAAACAGACATCCAAATGAATGAAAGCAGGGATTCTGATTTATCTTTACGTATAAACTTTTTCTTAACGTCAGGATTGGTTCTGCGTCGTAAAGCTGGATAAAAGTTTCTTCAGCGCAGAGTGAATTAATGTATTTATGCAGTGTAAGTCTTTGTCTATGTGAAGTGCACATTACATTAATGTGCACAATGAACTGAAATAATGCAGGTTTTTCTATTGCACTTTGGAAACTACTCTGCAAATGTGTGCAAGGTTTGAAACTTTTATTATATTTTGAAATAACTTGAAAAAAAATGTTTTTACATTCTAAAGGAATAAATCCTTCAGTGTTGTTTAATTTATAATGACTAGTTTTTTCCAAAATAAAGCTCCTTTGTTCAGTATGTTTTCAGCACTTCATTAAGTACTTCATAGGACTACAATTAGGAATGATCCAAGCTCTTAACAGAGCAGAAATAGAGGCAATAGAAGTAGTAGGGTCAGGGTCCTCCACATTTAATAGGGTTTGAGTTGAGTTTGGTTGGAGAACAGGTGAGAAGAAGACGGAACAGGAAGTCTGGATTTGAAGAGTGAGGAAAAGTGTAGAAAGGGAGGAAAATGAAGCTGAAAGGTGAAATGTGAAAACTTGGTGAAGAGAAAGAGGGATGGGTATGGAGGTAGATTTAGTCTCAATATTATTTATGTGAACTGATTGACAATCAGTGAGTAAATGTGTGATATGTAGATATAAAACACCTTCCACAAATACAAAAAATACATTTGTAAACTCACAAAAATATCTTGCAAGTATAAAACGGATCTACAAATAAATTTCACGGATAAAAACATATCTGTGAATACATTCAATTAATTTACAAATTAATGAAAAGCATTAGTGAATATCTGCCTAATATTTACAAATTTCAAACAAACATTTTTTGAATCACTTTTCTTTTCTCTTCGAACCTTCTGCCGATCTGAACGAAAATCGATTTGAATCAGAAAAACAAGTGATCGCCTGCTGAGGATATTCTGATTGGATTCAAAATATGATGCAGGTTTAGGATGATTTTGTTTCCTTTTCATATGAGTATACGTGGTGGTGTGGTGATGTCATATGGCAGAAAATCAAGGTCCGTTGTAAAGTAGTTGATAAATGCTGATCAGTGAGGACGGTGATCCCTGTCATCCGCCACGCCCCCCATCCCTTCCAGTCCTACAGCGTCATTACGTCACTGCATCCGAACCTAGACCAGTCGCAGCCATTTTACTCCGCGAAATAAACTTCAATCTCATCGCTGGGGGAAAAAGGAAAAATACAGTAGATAGTTCCGCTGACGTTAATGGACATCTCGTTGTTAACCAGACCTCGGACGGACTCGGGTTTCAAGTCTTCGCAATTCGGTAAGACCACAGACCCGAGGCGGCGCTGTCTTGTTTTTAGCATGTTAGCCCGTGTTAGCTAAACCGAGCTAACTGGCGAAAATGTGAGGAGCGTTCGTGATGTGCAGACAGAAACACAGCAGGCAAGGGCTGGGTAAGACTGTACGGGAGAGCTCGCACACCGAGTATTTGACTGTAACTTATATCGAGATACGTTTTCGTGTCCTGGAAATGATGGCCATGGAGGCGCCCCATCGTCTTTTATGACTGTCGCTGTCTGCAACTCACTCACCTGTCAGATTTCAAGTACCGAGCCAACGTTAGCTTATCCCACACCCACCCCCCTCTTAAACTGCGATAACATTAGCCGTGGTGGAGCCGACTGCCATGCCACTCGAAAAAACCTCCTTGTTTTTGCTGTTTAAACCTGCTCGTTTTCAAATTGCTATGTGTTCGCGCCGTGTGTTTTTTGCAGCTGTTTATTCTTGAGCCCGGGTGCTCTCTGGATGCTAAGGCATGACATTCAGTTTTCATTGTGAGTTGGCCGCACCACGCATGCTGTGTACAGAGCCCCCCCCCACCCGCTAGACGAACCCGATGATGTTATCGTACTGCCTTCCCATCGGTGGAAGCGGGGGGAAAGTGAGGTGAGGTAGTGCTGCAGCAAATCCAAACAGGTCGCGGTCTGTGTGAGTCATACAGACGGGGCAGGATGTGGTGGTTCCAGAGGCGGCCCTGTCCCCTCACAGTCTGTCATTAAAACGTGTGAATTATTAGCGTCCACTTAAACACTGTGCATATTGTTGGATGGCAAAGTAATTATCCATAGGCTGCAAGCCATGTATCCATGTGTGTTTCGCTTATTTCAACCTCCCAGTGCAGTATTGGTTTGCAGGAAGACTGCCTGCTCAGATCACTTTAGACTAAGGTTTCCGTGTCCCTCCCTGTGGCAAATTAAATTAAAATGAAACTGAATATCACAATGTAGGCAGACGTGTTTGCATTTAATAGAACTTTGTCCAAATGTAGGCTCGACTGTTTTTCCCTTTGCAGTGATTGTGGCAGATCAGACTAATACTACTGAGATGAAGGCATTATTAGCACTAACATGCTAGAGTTATCTACTCTCAGGAAGCCACCCTGGGCATTTTTATTGAGATTTGTATTAATTTCTCAGAAGCTACTTTACATAACAAGCCCCCGTAACTCCTCATTACAGGCAGCACTCTATTAACTTGTGTTATTTCACATTAAGGCTGTTGAAGTTAGTCTATGCAGCTGCTGAAATGGTCCTTCTTATCTTAGGTGTCCCTGTCCCATGGATTTTGGCTGCCAGCCATTAAAACATTGGGGTTTTTTTTTTTTTGTTGTTGTTTGTTTGTCCAGTTCTTTTGTACTGTTTTTGGAGGATCTTTTCAACAAAGTCCACAAAGGGCAGCCAGGAAGGAAACATCACCACATGCGTCTGTGGGAACAGAGCAGTACACCGACGCCAGTGAATGAGCTGCAGGGATGACATCATTTCTGTCTTATCTCTGGATAAAAGCAGACTCTTTTTTTGGACAAGACGTGGCTTAGAAAACCGCAGACTGAAAGTGTAGTTTGGCACAGAGTGGTTCTCAGGCTGTGTGCATATGTGTATGTTTGTAGCTTGTATGTGCTTGGTACATTAGTCAAGCAACTCGCATAATTACAGAATGAATGGCTTATATGGGCTAGTGACGAGTCATAATAATCACAATACGCAATATAACAAGCAAAAATCTTGATAGATGTTCATTGCCTTGATCTGCATAATAATATAAGTTATAAATCTTCATTCTTTTCAATATACTTGTTTGTTTCAGGTTGAATTTAGTGAGGTTTTAATGAGTAGCTCTTGCTTTTATAAGAAGATTCCCAGTCATCCAGGGTGTAGGATGTCCAGTTTCTAGATAAAGCTTTTGACTTAGTGGTAGGCATGCTATTTTTTTGTTTCTACAGTTGTGCAATGTCAGTGTTTCTTCACAACATGTTTTTTTCATCGACAGTTGTAAGTGGTCTGTTAATGTCCTTTAAACAGAAACCAGACCTACTTGACTGTTCATTGTTTAGGAGCTCTTAGGCCGAGGCAGCAGATTTCCGTTATCTCATGCTGTCAGTTGAGTGAACGAGTGTGTGTATGTGAGTGCTTGTGGGCACTTTATCACTGCAAATCTTCACAGCCAGGCCTATTTGTAGTAAAGTTGACCCATGACCTCTTCTCGTCAGTATGCAGGGAATGGGAACTGATGACTTATCTGTGCTCTGGTTTTAACAGTTCCTATTCCCTCGAATTATTAGGATTATTTAGCTGAAAATGTGAAATATTTGGTTGGTTTCTCAGTATTTGGGGGGGCGGCTGAACCCGGCTGAACCCGGCTGAACTCTGATCTTCTACTGCTGCTGATATGAAAACATAAATGAAACTTGAAGCCAGTGATTGTTGTCTGTTATTCAGAGAATCCACCCTGGTTAATTTAGCTTGGTCCGAGATGCTAGTGTCGCATTGAGCTCCACAATAACTATTGGTAACATGGAGAAGTGACTTTAAACCACCTTCAGAGTGAAGTCCGTTGAGTAATGGCAGTGTTAGTGTCCCACAAGTAAAATGTCTCATTTGGAAGTTTGTTCAGGAGGATATATTTTTAGCTCCTCCGTGGCAGTGCAGGGATCTGAAGATGGCATCGTTAGTCAGTTTGTTGGGTCTTTTCAGGCTCTTACAGGTTCCTTGTTCCATGTGCATTGTCCAATTTTTTTGTGACTGCAACAACTGACCAGTAATGCCGTCTTTCCTGTGGCAGCTGGGCAGAGCTCCAGAAACTCCTTTCTCTGTTTTCCTCCAAAGTCGCACAATCACTGATTGGAAATGAACTTCTGCTGCCTCTAACTCATTATCCATGTGGCGCGGGCCCACACCAGTACTGCTTTGTTTCGAGAGTGATTCTCTGTTCAAATGCAATGAACAGTTGTTTATTTTTGATGGTGTTTGAATTTGTCTTAGTGACATTACGAGCATACCAGACCACAGGTTGTCGGTGACACATTTAACGAGAAAAGAAAAAAGGCTGCGTGCTGACAGGGAAGGGATGGGAGCGCTTGTTAGTATCTCTGGTTGCACAGTAAAGTGTTGATGATTGACACAAGCGTGTTATCTATGCCCTGTTTTTAAATACCAAACACACCCAGTGGCACAATAATACAGCTCTTCTTTGACTGGTCGTGTAACATATTTGTCAGGTGTTGTCAAACATTTTTATAGCCGTGAGCTCATGTTTATTGTTGAAACCTGTGTGGAAAAGTAAAACTGTATTACATTTGAGCATAACCACGAATAGCAGATGCCCAGTCTCTCCCTCACGCTCTAGCACACCTTTGATTTTAGTGGTGTGTTTATACATGTTTGTGTGTGTGTGTACAGAACGTATGCATTACCCTTTGATGAAACACATGGTACTTGTTGCCCTGATGCCATTAAAAGAACAGTCGAGGGCAGAGCAACACGCAGCGCCTGCCATCTGGATCTGCTCTTTGATTCTGCCGGGGCAGCGCCGTTGTTTATCCCACAACGCCTCGTCAGCCGTGACAGTTGTTTGTTCTGCCCCCTTTCTCCTACGCACTTGTTCACCCACCCTCAACTCATTCCTCCCCTTCACTTTGCCCCCCACCCTGACACGAATGCACACGCAGCATGTAGTTCTCCGTCTGAAGGAATCCTACTATCGCTTTCTTGTCCTTTTCTCTGATCAACTGCAATCCATCTACATCAAATCCAGTCTGACTCATGCGGCCTTTTATTTTATTTTATTATTAAAAGCATAAAATTGGCAGATCTTAACACAGATTTTTATGATGCTGTCGTCAGGGAGGAACCCACATAAACAAAGTTTACAAGCAAATATCAGATACTGTTTTTAGTACAAGACCATTATCTTCCCAGAGTGTCTCTAAATTGATACGTCGAGCTAACCGTAATTCAGTTATCTGCTTTGTGTACTGGGCAAGAGTCCTGAGAGCTCCCGTGTGCAGCTGATCGATTCTTACTCAGAGTGTCTCGCCCTCAGTCGCAGTGTAATGATACATTACAGCTCTTTAGTCATCAGTACTGAGCATTTCTATTGTCTATGCACCGAGCATGCACTTCCTTTGTCATAGAGACCACTGCAGGTTTTTCCTAGCAACCTGTGAACATCCATTTTCAAACCGTGATGCAGCCTTGTGTGTATCTGTATGTGTGTGTGTTGTGTGTGTGGGCTACTTCCATTCAGACCTTTTTAAGTGGCACTTATGTGTTTTATTCTCTACAAATCTTCAAACGCACCTATTTAAGCAGCAGCAGTGTCTGGTGCTGTCAGCGCTGTGTTTCTACATGTTTTCATCTCATTGTTTTTTAAATTTTCTATGGCTAATATCTCACTAGGTGTTGGTCTGTGTTGTTTCTCTCATTTATTTTAAATTGTGTTTTCGGGATGGTTTCTAAATGTTTTGAGCATCGTTTACTTTGTCTGTTTAGAAAACATGTTTCGCATTAACATCAGCAGTGGTTATTTGTTTGGGATAAACAGACAAAGAGGCGCTGGCAACAACTTATAAGACTGGACAGAGACAGAAAAGAGTGGTGATGAAACTGATTACTACTACTGCTTCTACCAGTAGGAATGTACCCATCAACAGAATTATTATTATACACTTATCAGCAGTTTGGTTTGTCTGTTGACAAATTTCCTTTGAAATACCTGTAAATGTGATTGAATCAGTTCAAAGTGAGTGACTTTCTCTTTTATTTGATCCCAATTAAATTGTGGATCACATAAACCTGCATCATTTAGCTGAGGTTATTAGTTCTGCATTAAGGACCAGACACTAAAAATGAGAAGTAAGTGCTATTTATCTGTCATTTTTCAATTCATGGAGCTGTTTGTTAGAGAAACTGAGGGAAAGAAGATTATTCTGTAGCAAAGTACCAAACAACAAGGGATGGGAACTGATAATGTCATTATCAATTCTGCATATCAGTGTTCATTCCCCTTAATGATTCCTGATCAGTTTTCTGTGTGGGGAAAGAAGTAGGTGTGCACAGGTTATTGCCACACAGTCACACCTGACACTCCAGTGCTCCCAGTACAATCCTCCTCCCTCCTTTAAAACACTTTGCTCAGTCTGCCGCTTTCTATAGAATCTTAAGGTTAGTGAAGCTTAACATTAAAATAAATAGATAATGTATGATATAATATAAAATGTAGACAATGATAAAATGCAATATTGAGCCTTTGCTCTGCTGACTGGTAACGAGTCCAGTCCTCACAATATAATACAATTAGCTTTGGCCATACAATGTAAACATAAGCCTGTAGTCTATAGCTGCAGCTTTGGTATTAATCTCAATCAGGTGCATCAGGCCCAATCAATCAGGTTCCCCAGATTTCCGTTTATAAATGTTCATATGTAAAAACAGAATTTACTATTTTTGCGGTTATCTTTTTCAAGCTGCAGTTGCCTGTTGACGTTTATCAATAACGCAATAAATAGTTGGATTTCAGCCTAGAGACAAACGCGCCATCAACTTACTGTTACCGTTATTTGCTGCCGTCAAACTTGGTGAGGAGAGAACACAAGTTCACCTGCAATTCACTCTCGTGTAATTTTTATTTATTTATTTTTGACCAGATGGATAGTTACAGTTCATCCTCCATTGAAGTTGTAAACAGTGACTCCTGCTTTGACATGAGAGGGAGGCGTAGTGAGCGTGTAGGGTTGCTGAAAAGCACAACAAAATTAATAAAAGGAACTGATAAGCTCGGGGGCATATGATTCCCATGGTTCAGACAATTTGAAACCGGTTCTCAACTGGAACCAGTTCTGGATTCTCAGCCTACCTCTCCCGCTGAAAGCCAAACGAAGAGAGAAGAACAGCGCTTGTTCAGGGTCAGTGTAGGCAGAGTCAGTTTTGGCACGGCCCAGGAAATTCAAAGTAAAAGCCTCACAGTACAGGATGTACTGTTTGATTGTAATCTATAGGAAGTGCCTACATGTGATTAATACAGACGCTGTTACTGGAGATCTGTTACTGCACTTCTGTCACTGAGGTTGAACTGTCTGTAGCACGGTCTTTTAGTGGCACTTAATCATCATTAAGGGGCTAGAAAGTGGCTGCGAGTCAGAAGCCAAGTTTTTAAGAGTGGGGGGAATTTTGAGGCGGTGGCCAGATTCACTCTGCACCAATTCAGATTACCAGTAAATGCCAAGTGAACTAGGATTGACTCCCATGGTAATACTTGATTTCTGATTGGTGGGGCTGAATGCACACACCCAAAGTGTCACAGACATAGCAGGTAAACAGTCACAACAAAGTAATTGCATGCCAGAAAGTTCTTAAGACAGAGGCACAGGATCTAAAACTCTTGACCTGTGAAAACTGTCAATCACTTTATTTATAACATCTCACCTGTCAGGCATTCATCAGGTTAATTACATACAAACGAACCAGTACTAGCATATATTTATGTAGCCTGGGAAAAACTTACTAATTATATAAAGCGAGAAAATGAAGTTTTAGTTTCTCTTCTTGCAGAAAATTGCATTATTTATGAAAATCTGACATCAGGTTAAATTTTTAAAATGATCAGCAGAGGCTGCATCTATTCTATACTGTGTTATTATATTCAGATTTTATGATTTTAAGTTTTGACCCATGCTTCCTTTTTTTTTTTCAATCAATCAATCGGACTTTATTTGTGCCACATTTTTCATATGAACAATGTAACACAAAATGCTTTACAGAATAAAAGCAATAAACAAATGAAATAAAATCTATCTTCAGTGATTAAACTGTTTGGTGTTTTTCATTCACCTAAAGGAATTCTAACAATTAGTCAACAGCTCATCCAGGGCTATTTTCATCTGTGGTAGGAAGATCATCTCTCATGTTGTAGAGATATCGTTTGATAAACCGTTTCAGTGTTAAATAACATAACATTCTGTTTTATCTGACAAAGATTAGCTTTAGGAACACACTGTATGTCATTACAAAAGCAAGAGATGATAAAACATTATGTTATTTGTTGTGTTTGGATGGATTAGATGACATCAACGTTCAGCAACCAGAATGACAATATTTACATGTGTTGTAACCAAAAGTCTGAGTCCCATAGTCTTCCTCCGCTGTCTAAGGCCTTTGGCACTTTAAGGGCCTACAGGGAGAAATAAAGGCAGCCATAGGAACACAGTGGTTCTCTGCCAAAAGCAACACATCAAGATGGTTAGTAAAGAGTACTTATGTCCTGGAATGGATAGTGTGGGTGCTGCTGGAGAGCGATAAATAGCATACATGTTCAGACTGAGCAGTCTGTCATCTGCTGGTTAAGAGACCGTTGGGAAGCCATGGATACTAAACTGTTTGTTTTGCTCCCCGAAATGTTTCCGTTCCCTCTGTTTGAAACCGCCACAGCGACGTCATATTCCAGATTATGAAGCCCGTCTGAACAGAGAGAACATTCATGTGCAAACTGGCGTTGTTTCTCATGAGCAGCGGTTTGAAGTGATTATTCAGTATAATAGCCAACCCAGCTCATTTAATGAATAATTTGGGCTGTGACTGAGCTCTTCCAGATGGCTGAAATGAAATGCCACCCTTAGCATTTCAGCAGTTGGGTGAAGTAGTCATACCAACAGGATGATGATGATTATTCTGAATTACTGGTGTTCATGAAGAGCCCACAAAATATCCCTGAGTGATGTATTCCTCCTGTGTGAGTTGTTCAGTGAGAGGAGAAGAGCGGTCATTAGATTTCCCTCTTAACTCCTCACTCTCTCCTCTTCTTTTTTTCTTCTTGTGTCCACGCAGGTAACAGCGAGACATAACATAAAGGGACGGTGACCCAAACAGCTGTTGCTTGCCTGGGAACCCCCCGACCCCCCACCCCCACCCCCTCCCACCCCCTTTTCCTGAGGCATAATGGATCCCCAGGCTTCGCAGTGGCAACTCGGAGCAGAGGGGGAATGTGGGATGTCAAGTCTGCTAGTGCCCAGTCCCCAGAGCGAGGCGGTGACCCATGAGATGGAGGAGCTGTCGCTGCAGCCCACACAGAGCCTGCCTCCGCTCAGTGAACGCAAAAATGGTAAGGACATATATTTGTGTGCAGACCCTGTGTGGCCTACTCGGACAGAAGATGCATTAACGCAGACAGCTGGGAAAATGAAACAAAATATTTAGATTTGTGCCTCCTCTCTCTCGACAAAAACTAAGGATTCAAGGATTCAAAATTAGGGGTTATTCTTAAAAAGTCTTGAGCTGAGACAATTGTCTATTAATCTGCTGTTTTTTAGTTTGTTTTTAAGCAAAATGCCAAAAAAAAAAATCCTCAGCTCAAGTTTCTCTCTGTTGTGATTTGCCACTTTTTTCCCTTATGTAACAGTAAACTCCTCCCGCCTTTGGGGTTCAGACTGTTGTCAGACTGTCATCAAAAAAATTTCAGTCTTGAGTATTTTATTTATTTATTTTGAGTCATTTATCAAGTAAAATGTAAGTAGATTACATACAATGCCATTTTATTCATTATATTTGTTATTATTATAATACTTTTTTGACAGATTGTCAAACAAACACTTGTAAGGCAACACTTCAGACTCTTCTCATTAAACAAAAACACAAAAAAACCTGTAAAGACACTGATTGTTACTCACAGAAAGACAATTACATGCAGTATATGAAGTTGCAGCTCTCTAGTGAAGCCTTACTGTATGAGTGTCTTCCGAGAGCTGTTACTTAAATATCACACACTAAACTTCTCTGAACACACTGTTGTATTAACGCCAATAAATCCCCCATTAACTCGTCTTGTTATTCTCAAGATGTATTTATCTTCTAACACATCCTAGTATATTTCGTGTGAACATACGGATTGTAGTGTGTTACACATTAGCTCATGTAACTGCTCCATGCCCGGTGCTCATCAACCACTGATGAGTCAGCACCAGAATCACAAATCGTAGTCACCAGTCTGTGGTTATTGCAAAATGGTTACACGCACTTGTGCTGCCGTTTCGCTGTGAAGATCCTCTGAGACGATCATACTCATGCTGTAATTCTGATTCTAAAGGATCTGATAAATCACTTAGCTATTATTATATTATTGATTTAGTCATTGTCATCAAAACCCTCCACTACCAAAGAAAGTGCTGCAGCTGGGGGTGGGCGCCAAAAGATCCTATCACAATCTTTTTAAGTAGAATCACGATCCACGATCTGAATCACAAGTCTCCCCACAGATTTAGTTGAGCTCGTGATCACATGACTAGTTGTGCATACGGTTGCCTGGACACAAAGCCTGTCACAAGGGCTCAACTCACAAATGTCTGCATCCTGTTTCCGCTCTGATATTGTCTCCCTTTGTTGCAACTCTTCCAGCATGGTGACATGAGTGGCAGCCCAGTTTAAATACCCTGCATACATCGATGGTCAACACTGCACGTACACAAGCACATGCTCCCTGAATCAACTAATCAGTTCAAAACGAACCATGAAAGTGAGCCCTGAAACCTCCACCAGCTTCTCGTCTGCAGTGCACATTAAAATGATCCTCATCATGTCAGCCAGCCCGTGTGCTTCTCATCACCCTCACGCTGCCGGTGTTGTTTTGGCATCCACACGGGACTGACTCAGACACTGATGGATGGGTACGCGATTACCAGACTTTAGGAGCGGGTTGGATTCGCTCTTGCGTTTGCCAACTCCTAATCATGGCTTAGATGGCGTAGGGAGATCAGTTAAGTCCAGTCGTTGTGATATTGATTGCCGTGCTCAGAAAAATCTAATTTGTCAGATACAGTCAACAATAGGGTTTTTAGCCAGAGCTGTTCCAGACTGGATTAAACATGTTTTGGATAAATGTTGGATTTTGTGCTTTTGTGCTCAAAATCCTACATTTTGTGCGCTGTCTGCTGCTGTCTGCAGGAGAGCGCAGTAAAACTCTGCGGTGGAAAATTTTGTGGCATGTCAACAGTAGTAGCACACACTCATCTTGGCTTTTGTCATTTCCCCCCTCCAGTAGGAACACACACACCTCATACTTTCCACCCTTTAAGACATCCCTAGCACTTTGCCAACCACAGAGCCCTTTCACTCATATTGGTTTCAACACGCAGGTGTTAATCTGTCCACCATCATGACAGGTGGGAGTTTCTAAGACCACTTAAGATGTGTGTGGCAGCAGCTCAGAGTGTCTGTCTGTCTGGAGGGAGAGGAGGAGTGCTGCGTCGCCAGCAGAGTAGGATGTCGACACTCGGGACTGAGTTTGTAATGACAGGGAATGAGAGTAAGAGGTTGCCTTTAAACTGAAATCGTTAAGGTTATTGATAACGGGGAAAGCCTGTTAATAGAATCAAGGGGGCAGTCAGTCATCTTTGTGGTTGATGAATGAAGGCAAACCTTTTAATAATCAAAAATATGGGTATACCATAAAATCCCAAATGTTAATAAGACTATTACTGTTGATTACTATGTATTTATTACTATTACTGTGTGGGGTATAGTATATTAAAAGTTGACTGGTGCAGGCAAACAGCTCCACATTTCTGAGAGGTTTTAAAACGATGAATGGTGCCTGTCTAACCCTTTAAAGTTGCTTGAGTAAAATGCTGCGGCTTGTATGAATTATTGTTGTTATTCAACCTTTAGTCAGATGTTTTTAAAAAGAAAGACGAGAGTCATGCTTGGGTGCACACACCCTCACCGGAGGGAAGGATTTGAAAAGTAAGGCAACAGCAAATAAATGTATTTCTGAAAACGTGAAACTATTCCTGTAATAAAAGCATCATGTGATTTCTGGTCGGCCTTTTTGTAGCTCTTATTATTTGCTTTCACCTGTGTATTTGGCTGCTTACCGCTATCATTTATTGACTGCAGGTGAAACTCGCATATTTATACTGAAGCCTGTGTTTTCCTCCACAAACCTGCCAAACACTCTGATCTATACGTGTCTGTCTGTGTGTGGATAAACAGCTCAGTCGCATCGTTCACCTCTCTCCTCAGCCGGCCGAGGTCACAGGTCAGCATGTGTTTTTCAGGCTGAACAGTGTTTTCCCAGAGGAATTGAAGACAATGACACTGACTGGAAGTCTCTATGAATCACCTTGAACAAACATGTCCTCACTGCATACTTTACTCTAACTATTCACTGAGTGCAGTCGGGGTTGAGAGGGTTTATCTATCCTCCTTCACAGGAGCCAGGGTCAGTTCTCTGTAAATGTTTCACTGCAGCTGTAGTTTGGATTAAAGTTGGAGTTTTTCAGGGCAAAAGGTTATGACAGTTTTTGTGTAGGGATGCAACCATTGGTCCCTGAGTTCACGTGTGATAATGAATGGACACCAAAGTTGTCGGCTTTTTCCCATCAGAGCAAGAGATTGTGTTTCACTGTAAACTGTGACACGTCCCTCTGTAAATGGAGAAGTATCTACTCAAGGCCAGTATGTAATATGTGCCAGTGTACATGTTCTACTTAGTGTCTTTCCTCCCTTTGTTGTAAGCCAATTTACAAAGTCAGATTAAAGCTGTAAAGAACTCGTGTTGCTGCCACACAGTCGTCCTTTTAGCGTGAAGATGCAAGTCGTCGTTTCCTTTTGTTGTTGCCTTTTTAGTCATATTCTTGACTGTTCCTCAGTAGTTACAAGGAACCAGTGGGGTCCTCCACATCTGGCTGTGTTTGGTTTGCCCACAGCCAGAAAATACCCTATCACAGACTGGCTGAGTGAGAGAGGGAAGTAAGAGTAGAGAGGGAGGGCGGGGGTTGTGGCTCTGTAATAAAGAAAAAAGGAAAAAAAAGAATGAAAGTTGGGGAGGGATAGAGAAATAAAGGACGGACCAAATGTTGGTTCTCTAATTCTTAGTAGTGCTGCAGTGCTGGATTTTCATCATTCGATGGATCATGTTTCAGAGTCGATAAGCAACATATTTTGGGCTTTAATACTAAGGCTGTCTCACTGGAATCAAATGGCTTAATCACTCAGTTGTGTTCTGGACTATTTAATGTGCCAGGAGACCATGGCCTGTATGGAGGTAGACACAATGAGCAGCTGCTGCGCTAGGTTCAGAGCAAGAGCAGGTGAGCGCTCCTCTTCTTTCTTTGTTATTGTGATGCTGAGGGTTTATAAAAACATAAGCTGTGGGAGGCACCAGCTTGAGTGCAGTGGTTGAATCATTAAAAGAGCAGGTTTTTTGAGCACATATTAACAGACTGTGTAATGTCATACCCTGGTAGAGTTAAAGGGAAATGATATGAAGCATCATCCCATTCTTAAAAAGTAACCGAGGACCGAAGTTGTGCTCGGTAGAAAATCAATACGTGGCGCTTATTGTTGATATTGTGGCGGCCCACCACAGATTAAGGGTGCTCCTTTCCATCGCCCACCGATTGTTATTGGCTGATACTCGTTCTAAATAGTTTTGATCAGATGACACAAAACTTGCTGGACAATTTCTGCACGTGCAGCTAAAATGGCTTCCTGGGTTCATCGGTCTGGCAGTTATAACATATAAACAATTATCAATTCATGATACTTTCCAATTTTTTAATTTTAACAATGTCATATAGAACATCAAAGGATGACTCTTTTTTGTTTGCCTGGCAGTGTCGTGTTGTGCTGTGTTTGTGTGTTTTTTTTTCTGTGATTATTTCACATCATTTTGAAATGTTTGTTAGCTGTCTACTTGCAATCCCATGATGCTTTGGGTTGAGCCTGTCAACCAGCCCGGGCTGCGTCCCTGACTGTGCATGTGTGTGGCAGGTCTGATTTTAAATGCATCATGCAACGGTTTTTCAACCCATTCTCTTATTTATAGATGTATATTATGTATACTCTCAGGGCAGAGCCATAAAACACGCCTGTCAATGTCATGATTAATGTGCAGATTCTCCTTTTGTGCATTTGGATAAAAAAAATACAAATAGCTTTTGATGTGCGTTGGTTGGAAAGATTTTGACTGACAACATTTGTCATTATTGTTCTGTGTGTGATTTGAACAAAGAACATTCAATTTCCACTTTATTTTTTTCTTTTGTCTTTATGGCCATATGAGCGTTTATACATTCATGTGACATCACTGCAGGAACATGTATCCTGATAGTCCAGGTTGGCCTTAGAAAAGATGTATAGAACTTAATTGTGCATTACAGGGTCGAGGTTATACAAGAATTATTGCACAAGGAGACCAGTCCAATCAAAAATAGGTAAAAATGGCTCAGACATGAGCAGATTGATACTTAATTTTGTTAAGAACAGTTAAAAAAAAAATAATGTTACATGATAAATAGAAACTTCAAACAGACCCCCTGATCAGTGATCGGTATGAGCCGATACTGCTTCCAGCAAACAGTGATCGGGGATGGATCCTGATCAGAGCACCTGCACCACAAATTAATCGGTGTATGGGAAACACTGCATTATATGATAATTATATATATGACATGATAATTAAGACCGGCCTCATGACTAGAAAGCAGGATATGAGTCATACGTCAAGGTAGGGAGAGGTTAGTATGTGGTTACTTCCTCAGGTTGATTAAATTTTCTTGCTTTTCCTATCGTCAGTTTCCCTTTTTCTATTTTTGTATACTGCCTTATCAATTTCTTTTCTACACAATCTGTTTTTCTTTATGACATTTTTTTTCCATTCTGCTTTCAGTCCTGCAGTTGAGGCTTCAGCAAAGGCGAACCCGGGAGCAGCTGGTGGACCAAGGCATCATGCCACGTGAGTGTCGGTGCTGCTCGATGTCCACCACTCGCAGAAAAGATAATGTGGAGTGGGCGGGTGTATAATATCAAAGAGGGACCCCGGTTCACACTGATAGCTGAGACAATAAACATGTTTACTCTATTATTTAATCTGCATCACATTGTTTGTCTACAATATAATTGTGCTCAGACTTGATTGCGTTGATGTAAATGTTATGTCTTGCAGCTCTCAAGAGCCCAGCGGCGTTCCACGGGCAGATTCGCAGCTTGGAAAGAGCCAGGGTGAGGAACAGAGTTTGGAAAACAAAGTGCTCAGTCTGCACCTGAGAAGCAGAGGAAATGCACTCCTGGGGTGTTGAGTTACTCAATGCTGCATGAAATAATAGATCATGAAAATTAAGCTACCTTACTGACGGTTCTGTCAATACATTTTTATTTATTTTTTTAGACTGAGAATTTCCTGAAGCACAAGATCCGCAGTCGTCCAGAGAGAGCAGAGCTGGTCAGGATGCACATCCTGCAAGGTACTGATAATTCTCCACTTCACAATAATGTACATTTCATATTTTAGTCTGTCCTGTAAAGCAGAGGAATGGAAAGACTCTCTTCACTGTAGCACAAAGAAATTCCTGCTACTGAATATATGTTAAGCAGTGGAGGGTCATGCAGGCAGGAACATGGCCAACAGATTTTAGAGATTAAAGATTTAAAGATTTCTGCTGATTTTCAAATATTTATTACACATTTCAACCATCATAGGATTCAAGTTTGCACCAGACTATAAACAAATGAATCCTCCCAACATTGCAAGCAAGAAATCTACAAGCTGTGTGACATGTTGTTTTCCTCTTCCCTCAGAGACCGGAGCAGAGCCCTCACTACAGGCCACCCAGATGAAGCTGAAGAGGGCGCGGCTGGCCGACAACCTGAATGAGAAGATCGCCCAGCGACCCGGCCCAATGGAGCTGGTGGAGAAGAACATCCTGCCGGTGGATTCCAGCCTTAAACAGGCCATCATCGGTGAGACGCATGGCAGCAGAGATATTAGTGCGTTTCAGAAAGAGATCTTTGCTTGAACAACCGTGATACGGTGAATTATAAGAGCAAGAGATGCAGTGAGCGGACATACTTAGACTTAGAGCACTTTGCTTGTCTCTCAGTGGGCCAGGTGAATTATCCCAAGGTGCTGGACGAAGACAGCTGTGATGCCCTGTCCCCGGAGCAGCCGGCCAGCCAGGAGTCTCAGAGCTCTGTCCCCTCACCAGGCGAGAGCAAAGCACCAGAGACGCCCTCTCCAGTTCCAGCTCCAGCACCACTATCGAGCCCCATGCTGCAGGTCAGATGAGAACTAGTGCTGGTGTAATACTGGTGTTTGTGTACGCCTGCTCAATATCCCCAGAATGTTTTTCTAACTTAATAACATTGATATTGGACTTTACAGCGTTTATGAGAAGTTCTGTGTTTGTTTTGCAGTTATAAGTCTCTTTTTGTTTTTCTTATTCAGGCGTTCCCTGTTGCTACACAAGCAGGACAGGACTTTGTGAAAGTGATCTCTACCAGTGAGCTTCCCGCCTGCCGCCCGGCTGTCATTCCTGCTCCCTCCAAACCCGGCCCAACACTGGTGAAAGTAAGGGGGCGCCGCTTAATCTCACCTCTGAATGTAATACAGCCTCTTTGTTTGCATTTCAACGCTGCTGGGCAAACCGAACGTTAAACTGTTTCCTCCCAACAGCAAAGCCAGCAGAAGACGCCCTCGGAGAAGAGTCGCAGTAAGAAGGGCAAAGAACCGAAGCCCAGGGTGAAAAAGCTCAAATACCACCAGTATGTTCCTCCAGACCAGAAACAGGAGGCCAGTGAAGCACCCATGGACTCCTCTTATGCCCGACTATTGCAGCAGCAGCAGCTGTTCCTCCAGCTGCAGATCCTCAGCCAGCAACAGCAGCACTACAACTACCAGACCATATTACCAGCACCACTCAAGTATGTATATAAAACATTACAAATACAGACAACACGGCAAACCCAAACAGGACACAAAAAAAAACAAACTGCATTGTCTCATTGATATATAGAGTTCTGTTGCCTCAGCTGCTGTTGTAGTGTGTTTTAAAATTTTAACCTTTTTTTTCCTGTAATCTGGTTTGGCTCGCCTCCATCACTCTTTATCAGAACACGCCTGAAAGCAAGCCAAATATTGTTGTTTTCAACAACCCAGAGGGCCATTAGCTAGTTTCCAATAACAACTCTGTGTCTAATCATATTAATAACTAACAGGATGTTGTTTCACCAGCTGCTGTTTTCATATATGTCCTCTCAGCGGCGGCACGGCCGAGCTGCCTTTGAACTGTGCTCGTGTACTGGGGTTTGGTTGACTGGCTTTGTTAGTGAGGCGCAGGGCACAGGATGGAGGCTCTGTTCATATTGGGAGCAGATTTCCTCTCTGTGTTTCCTCTCTTTCACTCCTCTCTCTTTCCAATTATCTCTACAATAATACTCTTTTGTCTCTTTCTCCCACCTCCTCTTCCTCTGTTTCTGTTTCTCATTCATGTGATGCGCAGAATAGTCTAAATGATTTCCTCCGGTAACGGTGACCTCAACTTTTTTGTGTCTCCTCCTCCTCCTCCTCCTCCTCCTCCTCCTCCTCCTCTCTGTAGATCTGTGGCAGAGGGTCAGAGCAGCACCGCCAGCAGCCTGCCAACCTCCATCGTGGTGTCTCTGCCCACTGCCCCTCCACCTCCTCCTCTGCCTCCAGCTCCGGCTCGGCTGAACAACTCGCTGTCTAACCGCAAGCCAGGAGTCTTGCCTGCCAACCTGGAGGAGATGAAGGTATTTGGAAAACCCTGTGTGTACCGGCAAACCCTTCACCCCTGTAGCTTGGAACAGCATCCCCCAAAGAGTTTAAAAATTATTGGAACAATCATAAACCAAAGAGGGGCTGACCCTTTTGGCTTTATAAGCCTGCTCAGCTGTTGAAACCAAACTGTATCAAGATATTACAAATCTACATTTAACAAGGTTTTACTCAGGAAGTTTTACTCAGTATTTTTGCCATTTGTTATTCATCTTGGAGTTGTGTGAGAAGTATCACTTGTGTCAGAAGTTAACCTTTGACCTGTAGGATTTCTTTTACACAGTGAGACATTTTACACGCCAGCACTTAAAGGAGTATTTCGATTGTTTGCTTTCTTGCCGAGGGTTAGAGGAAAGAATTGACACCATGTCTGTCCAGTAAATATATAAAACATAAATACATAAAGAGTTTAGTTTGGATAAAAACTGTAGATCACAAATGATGTTCGTTAGTGAGCTTTATAGGTGCTGTTCCCCCATGTTCACTGTCTTTATGCTAAGCTAACCGTCTGCTGGCTCCAGCTACATATTTAACGCACAGACATGAGAGTGGTATCAACCTTCAAAAGAAATGCAATAAACGTGTTTCCAAACATGTGAAACTACTCCTTTTAAAATCAGCTGCATTATTCCTCCGGCCGTCGTCTAAAATGACCTGATCACGTTTTTACCTTCGTAGGTGGCGGAGCTGAAACTGGAGCTAAAGCTGCGCAGCCTCCCTGTGTCAGGAACCAAGACTGATCTGATAGAGAGGCTGAAGCCTTTCCAGGACAATCCCACCACCTCTGCTCCTGTCACCATTCCTCTTGCCACTACCACCTCCATCCCCATGGAGGTCACCACCACCACCACTACCACCACCCCCGCTGCCCTAGTCCTCCCAGTCCAGCAGGTGACTCCAGAGAGCATGAGCTCCACGCCACCGGTCTCTCCCATCCCCAATGATCCCTGCACCCTCCAGCAGGATGGAGGCATGTCTGAGGCTCCTGAAGTACAAATGGTGAGCTCCGGCTCGGCAGGTCCGCGGTCCTCCCCTCTCCCGCCTTTTCAAGTCCCAGAGGAAAAGGACAGGAGGCTCCACGAGAAGGAGCGGCAGATAGAGGAGCTGATGAGGAAGCTGGAGCACGAGCAGAGGCTGGTGGAGGAGCTGAAGATGCAGCTGGAGGTGGAGAAGAGAGGCCAGGGCTGCACCGCCGACTCTCTCTCTGTATCTCCCAAACTCACCTCTATACCTGCCATGAATCCCGTTCCTACGGTTCTGAATTCAAATGTAGTAAAAATGGAGGGTACAGTCCTGTCGAACTGTTCATCCACCGCTGCTACCATCCCAAACTCTGTCCGGGGCTCCCGGGCTCTCACGAGCCCCCTACCAACCGTGGTGAAGTTGGAGGACGTGACTGTTTCTGCTGGCAAGCCGATCCAGCTCCAGACCCAAACCCAGCTCCTCACCCAGATCCAGCCCCAAGCCCAGCCCCAAGTCACCACCAGCCCGCAGCTTCTCCCCCAGTCACAGAGAAGTCCCAAACTTCAGACCCAGGCCCAGTCCCAACCTGCAGCCCCCAGCCTGCAGCAGTTCTTTATCAGCCACTCAGGTGGAGTCTCCCAAGTTCTGGGTCAGCCTCAGACTCTGCTGACCACGACTGGCCAGGCTGGGACTCAGATCCTCCTCCCAGTCTCGCTGCCCAACAACGCTACTGCAATCCAGCTGCCAAGCACCACTGTCAGCCTGCAGGTGAGATCACAGTTATTATAGCATGTTTAGCTGCTTGAAGGGACTTAAAACAAGTGTTGAACGAATTAGGTTTAGGTTCGGATGAGGAGACGCAGGGTTTACATACAAAGTTTGTGGTCTTACGCTCTCTGTTATTTCCCCACGTCTCAGCCTGTTCTCCAGGCCACAGTCTCAAATCCAGGCCTGTCAGTTCCTCAGCTGCAGAGCACTAAGATGGAGACGGCACCCAGTCAGCAGTTAGCCAACCACAACCCATTGCTACAGGTCAGTCGCACCACATAACTAGCTCCACCTCCACTCCAGCGACTTTTGCTAACATGTAGTTTTGCACTTGCAAAATCAAAAGTTAATGGGTCACTCTTTTATGTGTTGTTGTTATAAAAGTATAAAACAATCCCAAAGCCCTGTAATGTGTCCTGTGATGATGAGAGCTGGACTGCTGTAGCTGATGTGAGTTAGACTTTTGCTAAAGATTATATTTATATCTTCCTGTGATTGTAGCTCGGTGTGAGAACTACAGAGATGTGTGTTTGTCCCATTTGCTGCTCTTTTAGTTCCTCTTTTAATACAACAGCTATATTTGGTTTGTCACATTTCTGACTAGTATGACTGTGCTGTGTTTAATTTATGAGGCAGGTGGGTTGAAGGGGATTTTTGTGGCTTCAGTTGCATCCGTCTTGTTTTTTTGCCGTGCTGTTTTTGATGATATCAAGCCCACGGTGGACTGATGACTCTCCTGTGTCCCGACAGACTCTGACAGTCTGCAATAATACCGCTGGTCTGGAAAACCACACTAGACCTGAGATGAATCCCCAGTGTTTCCTCAGAAGCTCCCCAGAGACCAGGGTCTCTCCACGGGCTTCACCCAACCACCACATGTCCAACGGACCCCTTAATAAGGTATCAGCTGACTTACTGGAGGGGAGGGCGGTTAGTTTGGTTCAGTCTCTGCTGCTTACTGGATACTTTTTTTGAGATGACAACTTCTCAACTTGTATTGGTTCGGTCCTTAGCTCTAAACCTCAGTTTTCTCCATCTCCCTCTCGTTCTCCCAGTCCCCTTCTCCCCAGCCCACCTTCATCCTGCAGCCCACCTCTCTTATTACGCAGCCTCCCAAAACAAGAGAGCCTCCCCGCTATGAGGACGCCGTCAAACAGAGCCGCAACATGCACATCAACAATGTTTCACAGGTTAGATATGCACCAGTTTCCAGTTTTTCAGCCTTGAGGAATTGTTTCACTTTTTTTTTTTTTGTACCAGCCTCAAGCCTCCTAACGCCATTGACTGTTTCTTTCTCAGGTTCCCACGGCAACCAGCCAGCAAATGGATGACTTGTTCGACATCCTCATAGAGAGTGGAGGTAACTTGGTGCAAAGTGACAGCACAGCCCTGAACAATCTGTTTATTATGAGCAAGTTTAAAGCATTTTAGTCTCGGGGGAGAAAACTGCTGTAACTCTTTTCACAGTGTTCTTTATATAAATAACTATAAATATATTACCTCTTATGTAAACAGAATTTGACCAATAATAGCTGATTTCTTTAAGATACTCATAAAAAAAACTAAAAATCTTTCTTCAGTATCAGCGTTTGAGGTTTAGTTCTCCGTACGACATTCTTTAAAATCAGATTTAAAAAGTCAGTGAAGCCCCCGTCGGCTGAATCCTAATAAACATCCATGTTTTTTATTCCCTGACCTTTGTACCCCCTCCAGAAATCACACCATTTATCCAGCAGGACCCCCCCGTGTCTCTCAATAAGACCCACCCGGTCACAGCCAATATCACCACCCTGCCCGTCAACACTGCCCTCTGCAGACCGCCTCCACAGATCCATTTGGCCCCCCCGCCCACCCTGAGCCCCGTCATCGACCCCAGCCTGTCCAGCCTCTCCTCTCTGGCCACAGACAATCAGCTGGAGGCTTTTTTGGAGGGGACGCTGGCTGGGACATCACCAGTGTCAGACCCGCGCACACAGGGCCTGATGGAGGAGCTGCAGGCCCAGCTGATGGACCAGCAGCCCTACTCACCCATGGACACATCAGACCTGTCCTTCTGCGATTCCTCCTCACCTCCCTCCTCACTGAACATGGGTCTGTCTGACCCGGCACTGGACAATATGGAGTGGCTGGACCTCACCATGCCCCCGGGGCCTGCTGGGGCGCTCACACCACTGGGGATCCCGACAGACTTCCTGGATACACACGACCTGCAGCTGCACTGGGACTGACGGCGCTTCGGGTGAGGAAGCTGGAGGAGAGTCGGCTGAGCAGCTTGAGCCGGGAGTGAGAGATGGATGGATGAAGAGAAGAAGAAAGGGATCGGCGGCGGCAAAGAGGTTGAGTTTAAACATTTTTTTAAAAAAAGGAAACAAAAAGAGGAGAAAACGTGGCACTCCCATGCTATTATCACTCTTTTACAGTACATCCATACCATCTGTAATATTCCCACTATACTACAGTAAGAGACACTGTACAGGCAGTGCACTGATCAAGCTGAACTACAAGCAGGAGTTTGCACAGCTTTAAAAGAGGACCTGTCATCACTAAGGCGATCGTGATAAAGGGATTTTAAACACAGTAGACTTTCTCATTGACTGACGTCATGATTTTAATGATGATTTACAGAAAGGAGGAGACAAAGCCAAACGAAGACTGGTAGCATGGACTGTTTGTAAATACTGTTCAAACCACACTAATACAACTTGACTTTTGTCTCGGTCAGAGAGCCAGAGCAGTGCTGATGCCTGAGATCGACTTATTCCCACTGGAGGTTCGGCCTGTGACGACTTTACTGTGTAAGTACAGTAACTAAATGTGCGAACGGCTTCCTAGATTGTTCTGTAGGTGTGTCTGCTGTGAAGGCCTTTGAACCACTGAGGCGTACTGTGCCATAAGATCTTATATAAAAGCTGGTAGTTACAGCACAGACCACAGACTACAGATTAAATCCAGTCGTTGGGGAAAAAAAAGGGAGATTAGATTCTAAAGAAGGATGCGTTTGAGTCTTGCCTTGGACGTAGGTTGTCTGGGATGATGTCAGTGCAGCATCAGCTACTGACCACTTCACCCGGGAATGTCCAAGTGCTTTGAGAAGTTGCTTCAGCCTGTCTGAGGTGCTGGACAGTCAAACCCGTCTCTTCCCTTTACGATTCGAGGCCAGACGTGCTCAGTCAGTCACCGAGCCATGTTTTAAAAATTCCCCCAGCTGAGAAGAGGTGGAGCCTCTGTTCACACTGGTCCACTCTACCACATACTGTAGATTATTGTGTTTGCTGACTAATCTGATACGTCCTATCAGATGTGACTGTTTTTCCTCTGACCCATCGTGACCCCTGCGGTCAAGCTGATGAATGACTGTAAAGAACAAAGACTCGACTCCAGTCGGATGACGAGAGGAGGAAGCTCCTCCGTCAATGCGAGAGCTATGCACTAAAGAGGCGGAGAGATCTAGTGATGCGCCTCATTCACCTCAGAACAAAGAAATGTGAACTTCGCATACCCAAGGTGATCGTCAGTATGAAGTGATCGATATGATTGAGATCAGCGTAATGATCATGTGGCCAATCAATCCAGAGATACAGCAGTTGTTGTCCAAGTCTCTAATTTTGAATGTACTTTTGAAAAGATCAACAACAAAAAAATAGGACTTTACTTACATAGTCGGCAGCTTTTTTTTCCTCTGAAATTAAACTGACATAAAACAGTAAAAAGGGAACAAATATCAGTTTATGAGACATGCAGACACACATCTGTAATAGGTGTGAACTGTGTGTACGCTGCAAGTTATATCACGAATTAAAGATGTCTTTGGAGACGATGAGCTTTATATCTAGCTGTCCTACAGTATCCCTGCACTTTGTCTCTGTGTGTGTGTGTGTGCGTGTGTGTGTGTGTGTGTGTGTGTGTGTGTGCGTGGAAATCACTGCAACGCTAGCCAACAAACGTGCCAGTCAAAATGACCTGTAGCTGACCTGTAGAAGTTAGTCTGCTTCACCAGCCCATTTATCAAGAGACCAACCGGCAACATCTGGCTGAACGTGTGATGCGTCAGCTGCTGAAAGTTAGTTTCCTGACCGTTTGTTTGTGTGAGAGACGCATGTTGATTTACGTGTGTGTGTGTGTGTGTATGGATTTGTCTTCCTGTCTCTCTTGCATGTACGTCTGTGCGTGTCTCTCTGTGTGCATGATTGTATTTCGCGTTTAATCTCGGGCTGTTTCCGGCTCTTTCTGCGGCCGTCGGCCTCCAGTCGTTTCAAGAAAGTTGCTAATATCTATGAAATCAAATCATTCGCTCTCCAGTTGGCATATTCCAAAAATGTACTCTTCAAAAGGCTTCTGATGACTGTTGTACTGTTTTTTATCTGTGTTGTTCAGTCGGTGTGATACATTCAAAAACGCACAGACACCTTTTGAGGTGTGACACGCGGCGGGGGCGTCAGTGAAGAGGGCTCAGCTCCTTTTAAAGCCGTGATAAAATATTAATGTTTATTTTCAATGGATTGCCTCCTATCCCGCTCAGTTTTTTTTTTTTTTTTCCAAACCTGAATATTGATTTAGGATAAATATTATTTTGGGATTGATACAGTCTTACTGTATGGCATTTTGAAATAAGATTGCTTTTTTTTTTTTTTTTTTTAAATTCTCTTTTAAACCGATTATATTCATTGAAATTACATTTTGCATTGAACCACTTTATTGTGTTATTACATCCATGGGCACTAGAGGGCGCTCGCTCTCCAGTTGTGGCATGACGGCACATTTTCAGTGGCAACTCTTACTTCAGGGTCATTTTTCTAGCAGGAGAAAAAGTAAATGAGGCTTTTATTTTGTTTTGTTTTTGTGTTTTTTATTTTTTTATTTTTGCATTCTACAGAGATGCATTCTCTGCCTGTATAATGCTGATTTGCTGTTCACATCAGCAATAATGTGGAGACCTGAGCAAAATGACTGAGAGCCTTCCATGTCAACACTGTCTCGTCATCGTATAAGTAAAACGCTCTTACTGCTGCAGATGCACATTTATCATCAGATCAGGTCAAGACACTTGGATGTTCCCAAATCCTGGTTACGTTTGACCCCCTGAAAGAGTCGGCTGAATACTGTACAGACCTGCTTCTAGGCTTTGTTGCATGTTCTCGCTGTACCTGCTCGCAGGTCTAGTCGTAATTCTTTTATTTTTTCCCACGTTGCTGCGAGTGTTAAATCCTTCGTAGGATGGACAGTAAGAGTCACTAGTTGGTTTATGCGTATCCTAAAAGCGATGATGAGTTAATTGTGTATTTTTTTTTTTCTCTGTCATATTTTGGTATTTTGTCGTCTAAACGGCAGTGGAACATATTATCATGTTTTGTTATATATATGTTTTTTTTATTTTAGGGTGAAACGTAAAAGGAAAAAAAAAAAACCATTTAATCTTGTTTTCATGTTGGTGTAAAATCTGTAAGCGGAGATTTCATGTGTATATTTTTGGTTTGCGGAGTTTTCTTTAATTCTCATTTTATTTTGCATATCAGACATACACAAACCTCTTGGCTGCAGTAAATCTACACATGATTTCCACTATGATGTGACACCACTTTACCATTGGCCACTGTGGTTGCTGACTGGCCAGACAGGGACAGCTGAAAGCAATAATGGCTGCTCTCCCTTGATATACTGTACTGTATGTCAAATCCTGCCTTGATTTTATTCATGTACGAGCCTTTACTGCATAAACAGTAGTACATTAGTTTTTAAGCTGACAAGCACTTCATATCTGAGTAGATAAGTGAGGGCTTGTTTGAATAACCCTCTTATATTAGAGGGTCGTGGAAGCGCCGTCAATCAGGCTTCCACGTGTTGACCTCAGCTCTCCTGCTCGTCCTCATCCACCTTGCGCCGCTTATCATCGTCGTGAACATTGTACATTTTTCGGGTGGAGGAGCTGAACTTAAGAACAGAGCTCTGTACAAGACGTCTCATTACGTTACCGTACATGTATTTTTGGGCACATTAGTGGAAGCACAGGCGAGAGGCACCGAGGTTCTCCACCCTCATCATTTGATTTACGATCTTCATTGTAGCCGAGTCTCCTCTCTTATCTCCACCACCCATGCCATGCCTCTTGTTGTTTGTAATGCCATATGTTTTGCACATTGTGTATATATTTATATAGATGTAATGCATATTTTTATACATGTGTAACATCCATGGGCTCTCTATTTTGTAAATACTCAAAAAGATGTATATAAGTACTGTATGCCTTTATGTGTCAATAAAATTTGGTGTACTGTGACGCCTCTGCAGAAGTTAATGACGGATCAGTTCACTTTATAAAAAAAATACAAACTCATATATATTACAAACAATATGATCAATCGCCGTGTTGCCTTTGAAAGAACAGAAACTAAAGAATGAAGGACGCCAGTACATTTGAATTGTGCTTGTCAGTGTGTGCAACAGTTCTTTGTTACACTGGTCGGGTCACATGCCCGACATTTGCATATGTTCAGCAAGGGATTTCCATTTTCCTTTCAGATAACAGATATTCACAAATATATTTCCCTAATACCAAAGAAACCGGTCACCAAGGTCAGCAGGTTGTTGGTAAACCTTCGAGCTGTATCCTTTCATCAGCAACAGTCACACTGATGAAGTGAGCACTGAGTGACATCACAGGCCAAGGCAGTTCAAAAAAACTTAGTTTGAAGTTGTCTGAGCGTTTGTACCAGTGTTGTAGTCGACTCCAGGCACATTTCCAACATCAGCTGTCGAATCAAAAGTACAAGAAGAAGAACAAGTCCTTGTCCAGATGAAAAGCCCAGTGTGTTGGAGAGTTTCCTTAATGAACTGCTGAGGAGTAAAAGCAAAAACTCCATGTCAGAATGGCTGATGGGTGCTTATGTGTGCCTGACACCGGGGGCACTGGTGGTGGATGTTCTTCATCCGCTTCATGAAGAAAGGGATCAAACAGCAGCCTCCGACGCACCTTTCAGCGAGAAAACATACATGTGACATGTCATGTTTCAAGGTCAAATGTTAATCTTTGCAACAGCAGTGTCACTGAGCTCTCTGCAAAACAAGTTTGTGTTTTCCTACTTTGACTGTAAGAGTCAGAAGAGAAGATCGACATCACTCTCGTGTCTGTCTGTTAGCTATGAGGCTTTACGCAGAAGATGGTTAGCTAAGCTTAGTTAATCATAACGACTAGAGGCTGGTGGAAACAGTTAACCTCTGACCCTCACTGACACGTAATACAATATCTTGTTTGTTTTTATCTGTGCAAAAAACTTGAGTGCAAAAAACTGCTGGACCGAGAAACAATATGTCCTGCAGAAGTTGCTTTACACTTACAGACTTTGTACAGATTAAATAAATGAGCTTTAAAGGTGCTCTCAGGCAGATTTAGCTAACAGTCTTTATGCTAAGCTAAGATCATTTCCTGGCTTTAGCTTCATGTGCAGTGGAGAGACATTGGAGAGAGACTAATCTTTTCATCTAACTCTACAAAAAAAAAAATTAGAAAGCGTACTTCACCAAATGGTGAACTATTCCTTTAAGACTAGTTTTAACAGCCGCCTAGCAAGGTCAAAATTTCTTCAGTCAGTCACGCCAAGAAGATTTACCCCATCATGGAGCACAAGCAGCAGAGCAGCCACATTGTCTCGCTCACTGTGCTGCGGGTTTCTGTCAAGATGACCTCTCTACAGGTTGGGCACTGGGTGACGGCCGGCGTCTCGCCCAGACTGTCCACTTGCCCACGGGAGAGACAGAGGATACTGTTACTGGTCTAATAGCAAGTAGGATGTATTGAAATTCATGATATGCATGTTATATGTGTGGACTGTGTGAGTGAGGAGCTGTAACCCACCTGGAACGATCATGTCTGTTGGTGTTTGTGCTGCAGATAAAGTTTTTATGACGGGCCCCAGTGTGCCGTCCTCCTGTGTCAGCTGAGGTGGCGGCAGCATGTAGATCCCCCCAGTGGGTGTCTCGGTTTTATAAAAAGTGGGACGTAGTGCATCCTGTTGACCTGATTTAAAACATGAGCAGCTCAAACATGTTCATGGTGACACTACAGATGAAGTAAGAAATATCTGGTTGTTGAGTATTTGACAGTAATACAAAGTGAGAGTTTTAAACTCCCATGTTAAGTGGAAAAAAGCCTGGAGATTAAAAGTACCGTCTTTTGCTCTGCTCTTTCCCTGTTTCTCCAGCTCCTCCATCTTAACCAGCAGCTCCTCCAGCTCCTTCTGGATGGTCTCCAGCTCACACACTTCATCACTGTCCTCACACGTCACTGGAGACACCACAGTGTCAGAGGAAGCTTACTAAGTTACAGAGCTACTGTTCACCATTTTTAATTATAGCATATAAAAAGAAACATACTACATACTCATTTATCTTTTTTCAAGATAATGACATGGAAAGAAATTCTAGCTAGCTCCTAGCTTCTATAGCTAACCTTATTATTATCAGCTGAATGCAGGGGAAGGAAAAAAGCTTACATTAGCTTTCTGGCTAAAATGCTATGACACATTAAAATAAATGAACTAGTAAAAGACAGAAATAAATAAATAGATAAATTAGGTTTTAATTTATTTCATCAACAGAAAAGTTTTCTTTTTTTATAACCAGCTGATTCGAGGTTATAAGAACAGTATTAGGCTTAATATTTCTTTTTACACTCGACCCTAGCAACCCTACTAAAAGGTTATTTGTCTTAACATTTTTTCTTGTGAGTTTTTTAAACTTTTTATTTTTTTCGTGACTCTAAGAATTATTGAAATGAAAATCTTGTGAAAGCAAAATCACTCATATACATACAACCTGTGACAACGGGTCACAGGGTTATTTAACTGGAGTGATGTATTATGTTTTTAATCATCAAATTAAGGCGCTGACTCACTTCCCTCTGTGGTCCCGCTGCTATTATCCCCCTGTTTCTTTCTGAAGTGCTGCATCTTCAGCAGAAGGAAACGCCTGTTGTGTAGCTGCTGTATGCGGAACTTGATGAGCGCCAGCGGTGGGGGGTCTTTTTTTGGCTGTGGTGTCTCCTGGTTGGATTTAGGCTGATGTTCAGACTCATCCAGCTGTTTCTGTTGTTCCTTTGAACTGACTCCTGTGTTCGATGTCACAGTTTGTGTCTGACTGAAAGACTGAACGAGCCCCTCGTCCTGGTCTGTATTATCCATACTGGCTCAGAGAAGTTTAAACCGAGTGATGATTCCTCCAACTGAAGTGATGTAAACCAGAGGCTCAAAGCCGAAGTCCTTAAGGAACAAGGTTACACCTCATAAAGATCTCTCAAAATAAAAATAAAAAATAAAAAAACAAATCCCAGGAAAAACTCATCCGAATAATAGCTTTTCATGATCTGGTCAGGCTTGGCTCCTGACATTGAGAGCAGCTCTGACAGAGGCGTCAGTGAATGTGACTGACAGATCCAGTTTGAAATGATGTGTGCACAAACAAATTAGTATCAGTGAACCTGTAAAACATGAAAATATTGTCACCTGCGCGTGTGCAGGACAATGGACAGTGGCTGATATTACAGACAGACTGTGGTCATCCAAAGGTGTTGACAGCAATTTATAGGCATCAACCAAGCACCAATAAGGACTAAGCAATATTTGAGTTAGAGTCTGGTGACAGCTGTGTGGTGGTGGTCTGTTTATGTTGTCAGGTCAAATCTGATCAAGCCCACACAGTCTCGACGAAGCAGATTAGCTAAGTATTATGGTTGTATTATATATAAGGTTGTTATTTAGTCATGACCATGAAAATCATATGAAAGGGGGTCAGAGGAACACACATCCAGCAGATACAGAGCAACACAAACATGAGCAGTAACATCAACATAAACAGATGTGCTTCTACCCACCTGACAAATGTATGTCCAGTATTTACTCTGCTTTTAGCTCTGTTTTGGTCTTCACCAGCTCTTTAGCTGCTAAATACTCCAGTATGTTCACCTGCTGATCACTGGCTTTGTCTTTCTATTGTTCAATGTTGAGCAGGTAGTGCACAGTGGGATTGTTTAGAGCAAGTAGACCAAAACAAAACAGTGAACTTGTTTTGGATGTAAAACCAAACAAAGAGCTGATAGAGACTAAAATAGTCTGTAGGGCCAAAGGGAGCTGAGGAGTTGGGTGATAATTCCCTATGGATTCATTACTTTTACATTATGTATCGACATTTAATCCATTGATAAAATAAAAAATATTCACTGAAACACTTAAAACTAAATTTTCCACAGCCTTAAAAATTCTGTGAAGCAAACAGATACAGCTCCATGAGTACTGTGCATCACATTATATCATAATAATGATAATAATCCTCAAAAATGTGTGCACTTAATTGAGTTCATGTTTTGTTTAAAACATCTTGTTGAAGCTGAAAATGACTGTGGCTCCCTATATTGATATTTCATCACATGAAATCACAGGGTACACAATAATATATCTGGTAGCATGTCTCAATCACCTGAGGGCGAACAATTGTGCTGTTTTATTCGGTTTAACACTTACATCTCGGTTGATTATTATTCTAAAAATAACACGAACCGTGTAGTGTTTGGTAGCACACAGTGAACCTGCTTGTTCAACTGTGAAATGCAGCAGTTGGCCCCATATGACAGTAGCCAGCCACTGTAGCATCAATAAAGCCCGGAGCCACTTTATAACATCAGCAGAGCAGATGATGTCTGACCTATATTCCACACACAAAAATCACTCCATACATATACAGTATGGTGGTCTGAGAAAGGAATAAAGGCCAACAGACTGTAATTTAATGTGCATTCAGATAAGGAGGGAATTTCATAAGCCTTATCTGTGACCTTGTTTTAATTTCCGTTTTATTCCAGGTTACGGTATGATAAGGTTTCGTCATCAATCTGTGTTCCTTGGTGTTTCTATGGCACTGTAGAGGTCACTGGGCCAATGTGCTCAGCCTGAGAAAACACAGATGTCATACACAGAATTAAATAAGAAATGACGATTATATATTTTTACATTTTTCAGTGTTTTAAGTGCTAAAGAAGAGAACAAAACCTCAGAATTATAGTGTGTTGTTCTAGCTGGCTGACCACTAGATGTCAGGATGGTACGCTAAAGGAGCAGGTCGGGCCTACAGAGGATTATGTTCTCAGTTTACAAGGCTGACGTCACTGGTCCTGCAGTGGCAGACCTTCATCCATCCATCCATCCATCTATTCTTTCTTTCATCCCTCAGTGCATGTACCAACCTGAAATATTAAGGAGCTTTATGCAAGCCTCATAAATTCATTTCTTTCTCTCCTTCCAGTTTTAAGAATGATTCACCCCTCCAAGCACACCAAATCCACTTTTTACAGATATACACACACACAAACACATTTCTCAGCTGCTTGTTTGAAAGTGTGTGTGTGTGTGTGTGTGTGTGTGTGTGTATGTATGTGTGTGTGCATGTCAGTGTGAGAAGCATGCAGATCAGATAACAGCAAAGTATGTGTGTGTGCACCACCTGCCAGGGTATTAATCACCCAGGGAAGGATACACATGGTCATTGATAGATAATGAGCTTCATTATTCAGGAACAAAAAGTTGTCATGTATCATTGCACAATAGTTTTACTGTAATTGTGTGAATGTTAAAATACTAAGAACATTGATACACTCCTGACCTGAAAAATGTGTCAGAAATGTTTTTGGAGGTCAAAAAAGACATAGTAAGTAATGAAAACATCATAATATAGTAAGTAATCGTCATGGTATATTAAGGCATAAAAACGTAATACTATAGTAAGGAAAAAAATGGTCATAGTATAGTAAGGCATAAAAAGTGAGAAAAACATCATAGCATAGTAAGTCATAAAAATGTGATATTATAGTAAGGCATAAAAAGTCATAAAAATATCATAGTATAGTGAGGCATAAGAAGTCATAAAAAGTTCATATTATAGTAAAGCATAAAAAGTGATAAAAATGTCAAAGTATACTAAGGCATAAATAGGTCATAGTATAGTAAGGCATAAAAAGTTATAAAAACGTGATAGTATAGTAAAGAAAAAAAACGTCATAGCATAGTAAAGATTGAAAACGTCATAGTATAGTAAGGCATAAAAAGTCAGAAAAAACGTCAAAATGTCAAAAATGTCATAGTATAGTAAGGCATACAAAGTCATAAAAACATCATAGTATAGTGAGGCATAAGAAGTCATAAAAACGTCATATTATAGTAAAGCATAAAAAGTGATAAATAGGTCATAGTATAGTAAGGCATAAAAAGTTATAAAAACGTGATAGTATAGTAAAGAAAAAAAACGTCATAGCATAGTAAAGATTGAAAACGTCATAGTATAGTAAGGCATAAAAAGTCAGAAAAACGTCACAGTATAGGAAGGTAAAAAGAATGTCAAGAAAATGTCATCGTATAGTTAGGGATAAAAAGTGATAAAAATGTTATAGTATAGTAAGGCGAAAAAAATGTCAAAAATGTCATAGTATAGTAAGGCATATAAAGTCATAATTTAAGCAGGCGCCCCATGTGTAGAGGCTACAGTCCTCGCTGCAGTCGGCCCCGGTTCGAA